TCCCCATTACTACCAACGCCACTCCTTGCTAGAGTAACAGCAGTATGGCTGCCGACTCCACCCAGGCCCACTACCGCAACTCGGGCGTTCATAATGGCTGCTTGCCCTTCCTCACCGAAGAACTGGAAGTTGCGAACGAATTGCTCGCCCATCACTGAGGAGAGCAAAAACATATCCAGAGGTTCACTCATGTGCCACTCAGATTTAAAGATTCCTTTTCCGCCCGGAATTACCAACATCGTCCTTCTCAACTTCATCCTTAATTTTAGTGGCTGCTTTCCCCTTCTCCAGAGCGTTTTCCAGCAGACGTATTTCTCGAGATGAGCGGGAGTATCGAGATATCCTGAGGTTGACCGTGAAAGATTCAAAGTAGGTCCGAAAAGTACCCCAAAGTCAAAGCCACAGCAGCTCCAGTGGCCAGACCCAGGCCGGCCAAGAAGGAAGGGACGTTGAAGGAAGAGCGCTGTAGAGGCATTATATACAATATGTTACTGTTGACCTTCTAGTGAAAACGTAATTATGCACGAAGGTAGACTTGATAAATTATCAGATACCTATAATGTTTCCGGGGGGGAACTATTTTTGAATTTTCCACGTATGGCTAGGAACACATTCTTCAATCAGTTTCCCATGTAAATGCCATCATCACATTAGCAACTTCATTTTCCCCATTGTTATTGAACTATGGGGGACGTTATCTCTCATAGCTAGATGGGTGCCTCTAGAGTATACGAGTCTATACGGGTGAAACGTTCATCAACTCTAAAAGGGAAAATAGAGTGTTCACTCAGGCCTCAGCCGAGGTGTAGTGCCGTAGAGTTTTTTTTGTGGAAACAGAATTATACACGTGTGGCATGGTAGATTGTACGAGTCACAAGTGAAACGTTGACCATCAACAGCAGCCTTAACCAATCAAACAAATGAACAGTTGCGGTTGTTGAGTTGTTGAGAGGAGAGGTTGGGGTGGTCGATCGAAAGAGTTCATAGTTCTTGCTAATCTTGCAAAATCTTGCTTTTCCTCAACGCCTCCGCGCGTGTCACGCTCCGAAAATCTTGAGGTTCAACCCAACCTATTTTGAATCTTCTGCGCTCAACTTCAAAATACTTCAAGAACTTCCGAACTGCTACATAGATTCGCCCTAGTGTACAATCCCTCCCTCGACAAGGCAGCTTTCAAATTATGTGCCTCCTACTTCTGCTCCTACCAAGAAGTAAATCCCGGATTTCTGCAGGCCGGTGATAGCAGGCTGACGAGTATGTTGTCTCAGCCTTCTTCTCATTACCTCTCATCGTAGGATGATCATTGCTACAATACCAACTTGGTACACATTATTTATACATAGTAATATAATGCTCATCCTACATCCAGCAGATGTCCAGCAAGAGTCGCGAAGTTTACAGGCTTATAGGTCATCATACTCTAGAGGTGGATCCGTTAGCAACACTTCAAACCATGAGCAGGAGAGCTCACCAACGGATCACTCAGGAAGGGGGACGGACAATCTTCCAGCGAAGTCTGTATGTTGGAAATCAGGAGGTAAACTGTTGTAGTTTGAAATTAGGAGTGCATCGCACAGAATTTTAAATTTTAAATCTCTGTGAATCAGCGTGAGTTCACCTCAATATGGGACTTAATACAGTTGTTTTCGTTGTTGTCTTATAACCCTTCTATTCAACGTGTCGTCATACCCTAGGATTTACGTCTTCTCCAAACTGCTCAACGGCGGTGATCAGTTTCCACTCTACATAGACCCTCGAGGTGATGGCCTTCCTGATGCGCGCCATCTCAGTGTCACTACTCCCAACTGTGTGTTGCGTCGATCGCAAGGTTATCGCTGAGGGCTTACTACACCGTGAAGTAGTGGTGATGCGTGAGAACGATATACTTGAAATTGGGCGTATTCGTGTTTTGGAATTATTCAAGTTAGTTTTGATTTTCGCGAGGGGAGTTAATATTAGTAAAGAACGTCGGATGGCAGCTCGGTTACCGCTGATGGGAAATTTCGGTACAGTGTGGGGGGGAGGGAATATGCACATGTTCACCTACATGTGTTGGTGACAATATGAAAATTCTGGGAGGAAAATAGCAAAATTCTCGTTAGTTTCTGTACACTTTTACTCGAATTCGTATATGATCTCCTATGATTAGTGAGGAAACTCCTGAGCTCAGCTGAGGAAGGCGAACATATATTTGTTAACACTGGTACGGCGTTGTTGATGCGTTTGAGTCCAGTCTGGGAATATATGTGGTTGGTTTCCTCAACTGAGCTCGTAAGTTTTCTCACCATTTGATTTTGAGTAGAAGTGCACGAAACTAATGATAATTTTCTAAAATTTTTTTTCTGAGAATTTCTATATTTCTCTCCATCACATGTAGTTGACCATTTGCGAATTTTCCCTCACACTGCTGGAGTATTTTCAGTTTGCGTATGACAAAAAATGTTGTAGTCATTTTGTGCGGTCTACCTGCGTCAGGGAAGTCCACGATAGCAGCGAAGTTGAAATCTGAGCGGAGCGAAGCGGTTCATGTTGTGGATTATGATGTTATCAATAGGAGACTTATGAAGGAGGCAGAAATGGATGAGCAGGGATTCGATCCGGGGGTCTGGCGGAGGAGTCGGCAGTTGGCTGTGGAAGAGATGCGGACAATTTTGTGGCGCGCGGTAGAATCTACAGTAGTAATTATGGATGATAACAATTTCCTGCGCTCCATGAGGAAAACGGTATGCAAGGCGGCTTGGGAGGAGAAGGCCGCCGTCTGTTGTGTGTTCGTGGAGTGCCCATTGGGGGAGTGTCTAGAGAGAAATTCTGAACGCCGATTTAGAGTGCCCCAAGGAGTTATCACTGGTATGTTGGAAGTTTTGGAACCTCCTCGGGTTGGTGACGGAAAGGAAGATGGGGAGGTTGGATGGGAGCGGAAAACTCCTGTTGTTCATGTTAGTAGTAGTGGAGAAGATGCTCTGAGTGAAATCGATCGCGTGATCGATTTGGCCCGAAAGCAAGATATACCCGATTTCCGAGATCGCGAGCCGGAGGTCGTCACTGTAGTTGAAGAATGTGAAACAAGAATGCGGCGAATAGTATCGCGGATGGTTTCGGCGGTCCACGACAGGTCTCGGAAATCTGAAATTGCGAAGTCCCTGTCTAAGGTGAAGTCGGAATTCATTGGCAGAGTTAAGAGGGATCCGGCAGATGCCGATCAAATCGTGAATGAGTTCGTCCGAACGGCGGGGAACTTCATTTAAATCTTCGCGTTTTCTGCGTATGCTCCTCCTCCTCCTTGCGCTGGTTACTCGGGTGCTCGTTACTGGCCTTGGGAAGGCTGTAGATACCATCGGATTCGTGTGGGGATTAATTTTTATTGAGAAATTCATTCATCTGGTTTGAAAGGTAGATATAGTATTCCTATAGTAGAGCGTGAGGTCAGTTGGTCCCATTGAGATGTCTTCCTCGCCACTTGATTGCCATGGTACGGTCTTCCAGCGTGCTAAGAGAGCGGTGGATCTAATGGAGGCGTTGTTGCAGCCGGGAGGCCCGAGGGTTGGATCTAGTATGTGACCAGAGTTGGCGGATTTTCTGTTTTTTTACTTTAGTAGGATTTGCTTTTTACACAGAGCTGTGAGTGATGACGAATGGGGCGTTATTTTTATAAGCATCGTTTAATTTCGTTCATACCTGAGACAAGTGGTTCCGTCAAAAAGAGAATTGCGAAGCGAGCGAAGCGAGCGGAGCTTATTCTCTCACTTCACGATAACTGTGTGCGTGCGTGCGTGCGTGCGTATGCAATTATCCAGCCCGATCCAGATCAGTCATGAAAACGTCTGAACCACCATTCGAAAGCTCCCGGTCTGGGGATCTTGCAAAAAATATGAAACCCTGCATACTCGATCAACTCATCAGTAGCTGCTCCGAAAACGGCCGAAAATTAATTGCGTTAGAAATTAGATTAATTATTACTGACGTCCGTGGGAATCGAACCTGCGCCATCCATTTTCGGCGCGGGAGTCGATCGAGTCAATTGTTCTTGCGCGTATGACGCAAGCTCCGCCCCTTCTCCGAGAAGGCCTAGTCGTGCAACTGAGCATGGGGATTCGGGCTCAGTAATTTGACCATACGGATGTGTTATGAAGGTATGGGTGAGGAGGAGATAACGTCAGTGGAGAGGTTAGTAGCTGAGGCTCGACGGAAGGCCGCGCCGGGTGGAATATATGGGACGCAGATGCGGGAAAAGGTAGTGGGAGGAGAGGAACTGTATAAAGCGATTTATTACGTGGATCGACTTTTACACAGATTAGCAAATTCGTTGGTAATAATGTACCGGTGGTGTGGTATAGTAGGATGTGAATTTTGAGAAGACTTATGCGAATACGCAAGGAATTGTTGGGGGAAGACTCTCCTCAGGCCCTTGGACTGGTCGCTCGGTGGGAAGGTGTGAAGGCGCGATTCAATGGTAATGAGAGAAAATTCGAGACAGTCGGCTCGCCCGAGGCCCTCCAAAGTGCCTTTGTTGAGGAGCTCAAACGCTTCGATGACGATGCGATGGTGGAGAGGTATGATACTAGTGTGCTGGTGAGAATAGGTGATTGTCGATTCACGGTGATGGTGTTGGGGAAGAGTGTGGTAGTAGAGGGCGTTCGACTGGGGAGGAGGACGGAGTGCGTTGAGGAAAGTGGCAAGATTGCAAGAGAGGCGCTTCTTCGATTCAGAAGGACTTGTGTGGAGCCGTTGGTCTACGGGCTGCCTATACCGCACCTTTGTGAACTCTCGATTGATTTGGTGGACCAAATAGTTGAGTACTGCATAAGTGTGAGAGATCTTGCTAATCTTGAGGTCACTTGCAAGTTCCTCAACGCAGCTTGTGCTCCATCATGGCACAGGATCGCTGATGGGCTCAACTTGAGGGGAGATTCTGATCCGAAAATTTTAGTGAAAAATTATCACGTAAGACTCAGAAGTACTCGGAGGGGATTTGTCATACCGCGAGGGGACCGAGGTGGCCCGCTTGGAGGCTTTCCGTATGGTGTGGTCGGCAACGGGCCTTTTTTGGGGGGTATTGGAGGGTGGAGTGATAAGGAGCCGGGGGGAGGGCTCATCATGAGGGGTACATATCGGCTATGATATACTTAATTTTTGAAGGATTGAATGGTATGGTGGTGGAGGGTTACGTTGTCATGGCATGCGTCCCGGTACGAATCTATGGAGGGCCATTTTTTCTCTTGTGGATGGGTATTCCCATAGGACTATTCCCTCTACTATAACCTACCTCCCACTGCGGAATTGACGTTCCATAAATGTTTACATCTGCTTTGTATAGTTTCTCATTTGCCATGGAAAGTGTCGATTTACCAAGATTCATCCCGTATGGATCTAAAGCCAGTTGAATTCTATGTGTGTACATCGTAGTGTTACTTTATAGCATCATAAACCTCACGATATGGTTTCGACAGTCTTTGCCTTTGTCGTTTATCGTCTGCCGTCTGTGAATCGATCGGTACCTGTGTACTTGTCCATGTATAGTTTGTTTGTGTACTGCCTTTCTGAGCATGTCGTCGCTTCGCTGGTTCGATCCAGCATCGCCACATGCATCATCGCCCGGGAAGCAGCCCGTTGAGGAGCGACGAAGCGCATCGATGACTTTGGAAAAGGTGCCGGGGGGTAAGGCGGCGATTGGGGCTAATATTGATGCTATGGTGGCGGCAACAATGGAGGCTGAGATGGCGGGAGGAGGCCAGCCAACTCGTCAGAGCAAGGTAATTTTGGTCTAGCGGTAATGCATATGTTTCTCCACCGAGTGGCTGTGGGTTCTATCCTGGCCTCTGACCTTTTTAACGCTTAAACTCCTGCCCAGGTTGCTCCACCTCCGCCGGCCGAGGTGAGATCCGCAAGGTCCACGGAAGCATCGAAAGGGAATAATAAAATCGATGAAGATGCCCCAGCGGGTGAGCTCGGGAGACTGTATTCAAATGGAAACGCACTGCATCTCTGACAGATCCACCAGGTCGAGATCCTTCACCCTGCAG